TTGAAAGTTAAGTTTTGGTCTTTTACTCAGAACTGAGTATTTGAAATGATAAGTTATTGTGGAACAAAACTCTGGAATATATACAGGGTGTATAAAAAAAAACTAACTGAACAGATTTGAAATTGCTCTCAATTTCGCAAAACAGTTCGTGGTATCAAGTTTTTATATATATACATTTCTTGAGTACCCATAATGTAGAATAATGAAAAAATACTTGAACTCAAATTTTGTAAACCAGGGGGGTGTTTCTTTTCCAACAAACTAAAAATGGCTTGCGCACGAAATTTAAAAGCTTTAATGGATGGAAAATTTGTTGGGTTTTTAATTACTGTACAAAATTTCAGGCAATTTGCTTTAGTTTTATACGTTGCTTATAGTTAAAGGTAACTATTAATTTTTTCCTAAAAAAATCAGCCTTTCGCATGCTTAATTAATGCCTTTACCTAATTAAGCATTCAAAAGGCTGACATTTCGCCCATTAACTCAAAATACATGCATTATAGCTTTTAAATCTCGTGCGCAAGCCATTTTTAATTTGTTGGAAAACACCCCCCACCCCCCCTGGTTTACAAAATTTGAGTTTGAGAAATTGTTTTCATTATTCTACATTATATAAGTACCCAAAGAAGCTATATATATCGAAATCTAGATAGCTGTTTTGCGAAATTGAGAGCAATTTCAAATCTGTTCAGATTTTTTTATACACCCTGTATTGCTTACCGCGCAAGCTAAGAAATTCTTCATCATTAAATATATTGAACGCTTTAATTTCCGATGCTAATCTGACAGCGTGGGTGAATATATAGTTTTAATAAATTTAATAAGTTTATTAGTATAGATAATCATGCGATCGCGAGTACAATTTGGGATTAATAGTACGAGTGATGTTTGGAAATTTTGCCAAAATTGGGCGAGTCCAATTTGGCAAATTTCCAAACATCACGAGTACTATTAATCCCTAATTGTACGAGCAACATCGCATGATTACTTGTTTATTATTAGCATGACAAAATTGGATACTTCTCAATGTCAACATCATATTCTCTCGCCAAAGCCCAGTCCTGCTAGACTTTCAACCAAAATTTGGTGCTTTTGTTTGTATTTTCATTTAGTTCTTTTGTTCAAGCAAAATTTGATGCTTTTTGTTCGTATTTTTTATCTAGTTTCTCAAGGGCAATTTCATTTCACATTTGTGTTTAAAATACCTTTCCGCCATTTTGTTTGTTTTGGGAGAATCATTAATTGTACTGCAGTAAAATAATTGTACTCCTCCCAACCAATCAGCATCCAGCAATTTTGTCATGCTAATAGTAATGTTACTAATACAGTAATAGGCAATCCCAGCTATACACCAAATTTTGATCTAGGCAAGAAGAACAAAATCCATCACCACAGCTAGAAAGAGCATGTTAAAATTAGTAAAATTGCAAAGTTTGGTTGCGAAATGTTGTAAAATGCGGAAAATAGGCCTATATAGCCCTGCGAAATTTGCAAATTTTGTATTAATTTGTATTAGGCCTACGCACGGGAAAATGCCGGAAGTGGGCCGAAAGTGGTCCATTTTCCCGTGCGAGTCTAGTTCCTTCGATATCAATGCAATCTAACAAAAAAACAATTATTACTGAGTTTTTGAAGTACTCTTTAAATAATGAAATTAAGAATAAATCTCTCGACCCACAAGATAACAAGACATGCAGCTGCGTCTCCGACAATATCTTTTAACTAAAACTCGACTTTTATTTTTCTGGAGTCTGGGAAGAACTTATATAATATATACCGACTGACATCTGAAAACCTCGTTCCGTATCTCCACCGGCAAAACACAGATGGCAATGAATTTTCTTTTCAAATAAATTAATATAATTCAGCGCTTACCTTAAACACAAAATTTTCAATATCATAACGGAGGAGATATACGCATATTAGAAACAGCGTAAAAGCAAATAGACGCAGAAAGTTTCGCCTTGTTAGGAGACGCTTGTATCTCACCATTTTCAACTATATGTAATAAGAGAAATTTAAATTAAGCCAAAATGGATAAATGGATTAGGAATGGACCGTTTAATTTCATGAATATAATCAGTTTGGTGGCAGCTGTCAAAATCTACGACTCGGCACACTCAACGACGACATCTCAAATTTTAGCTCACGAATGGGCGAGTCAGTAGTAGAATCTAGAATTATTTTAATAAATTATTTAAATAATTATTTTAATTAAAATTAAAGGCTGCACCCAACCTGAATTTTAGGCGGAAATCAGGTAACGTCCTGCGTGCAGGCCACCACGTGTTGGTTGTCTTGCCGATGACGTAGTTTTGACTTCGCTAAGGATGCAACTACCTAAGCAACTACCTGAAAATGCTTCCGAACCTATATATTATGTTATTAAATCTAGGGCTTGAAATGTGACTGCCAGCTCAACAACTCTCATCCCTGTTTGACCGACGAAATATTTTCGTTACGACACAATGAGAGTTGAGAAGCGAAAGTTTGCATGCGAGTTTTCTCAACTCTCATGCCTCGGTCAAGGTGAAACGAGAGCAAGAGTTGCATGCGAGTTTTCTCAACTCTCATGCCTCGGTCAAGGTGAAACGAGAGCAAGAGTTGCATGAGAGTTGAGAGGATATTACACGTGCGATAGCGAAAACTCTCATCAGCTTCATTAAAATTTGAACCTGTTCAAAGTCCTTGAAAGCACAAAGTTGATGAGTGTCAAACGCCAGCCACTCTCATCGACTCACTTCATTTGATCGGGGTAACGGCTGTTCTTGGAGGATGTGTTTCAATTCTCTCCTTATACCTTGTATATATATGTTCCCAGGAAATATTATCCTGCAACACCGAATATTATTGACTTGACTTTATTATTGACTTTAAGACAAAGACATGGGTGTAGATAAAAGGCGGACGACAGACCCGACTCCTATATATAGTTTCAAAATATAATTATGATGTTGTGTTATTTTTTGAAACTCATTTAAAGCAGGCTATATCACTTATAATATGTTCCTAAGAAATATCCTGTCACGTAATCAAGAAAAAGCAAAATTGTCTTTAAGACTTTATTATTGACTTTATTTAAGACAAAGACTCCTATAGTTTCAATATATAATTACGATGTTCTGTTATTTTTTGAAACTCATTTGAAATAAAATCGAAAGAGTCAGGACTTATACTAGTGTTAGGTTTGGAACTGGCCGAGAGCTTGACATGGGAATATCTTGTGTTTCTTCCGTATGATCTCCAGATATTTTATTGACATGACTTTATTATTGTCTATTATTTAAGACAATTAAGACTCCAAAAGTTTCAATATATAATTAATACGATGTTCTGTTATTTTTTGAAACTCATTTAAAGCAGACTATATTATATCACTATTAATTTTTTTGTTTCTTAATGTTTCCTGTTATTTTTATGTATGTATCTATATATAATACTGTATATAACGGCACTGTAATGCAACCTGCTTACAAGTTGAGTTGTTCTGTGTAAATCAAGCACACAAGTCGCCTATAATATGCTTTACGTTATCATCTACAGATCTACTGCTCGTCACATTTTTGAACATGGAAAATGTTTCGCTTTAATCTTTATCTGTTTGAAACTTTCAACCAATCACATATACCCACAGGAACTGCGGAGTTCTTCTAAATTTTGTGACTGATTTGCATGGTGACAGTCGAGCCACTCGACTCAGAAATTGTTAAATTAACTTGAAATCAACTGGACCTCAGATGATTTCGAAATCCGAAATCACAAAAGAAAACTAGCGCCGAAGGGCTTGTAAATTGGGACGTTCGAAACGAAATTAGACAGATTTAGATCGAGGACGCGGACGTCAAAGACGACGTGAAAATGGCGAGTTCTGCCCATGTATGGATATGCCACGCCATTTTGACGCCATTTTCACGTCGTCTTTGACGTCCGCGTCCTCAATCTAAATCTGTCTGAGAGACAGATTGCCAAAACAAAAGTGAGAACTTCAAGGTGCTATTGATGAGAATTGGCTACGCGCGCGGTAATACAGTCAACTCTCATTCATTATTCAACTCTTTAGTTCGAGTTGAGAGAACTCTCATGCAAACCCTCGCTTCTTAACTCTCATTCCCTTTTAACGAATGCTTTACAACGACAAAGTATTGGCTGGATATTACCGCGCGATGACGAAAACTCGTATCAACTTCATTAAGAACACGAGATAACGAGAGTCGATGAAGTTTGCGAGCGAGAGTTGAGACTCTCCTCAATTCTTCCTTTGATTGTAGCTTTAACGCATGACTTAGCCATGGAAGAATAGGAGGATATGTGTTTTAATTCTCTTCTTACCTTATATGTATAGGTTTGCGTGAAATGTTATCGTCCCGTGGAGTCGAGATATACTGCTTTCTGCAAAATTGTTTTATCTACAACAAATATGAGATGGCTGATTATCTATACTATATATATAGTCGTTCCTGACTGTCGTGCATAATTTGTGGCAAGCGTGTTTGTATATTGCAAGAAATTCGTTTTAATTTAAAACGACATGTGCATATTTGAAACCCACGTGACTTAACTTAACTTGAAACCACTTTAAATTTAAAATTAGTTTGTCATAAATTAAAATAATTTTTGAAGTGAACGCAATTTTTTCTTTGCAATTTTTGCTGCGAGCCTGCGACTTTCTTCTGATGAATGAGAACGAGCAGATGAGTCATGAAAGTTCCGAGCATACATATTCCTTCATCTCAGCATTTATAACTCATCTGCTTGTAATGGTCAGAATTTTTCCACGTAGGTACTAAAGTAAGGAACGACCATAGATATCTTATATACACTAGATAGTGCATCTAATTATTCTGCAATTCAAAAATTGAAGCCGTGATTGCAGTCTCAGGTCGTTCCCATGAAATGAGAAGATTCGTATATTTTCTATTTCTTAAACACGGAACTTAAACATGAAGTTAACCCTATGCCAAATACGTTTTTAAAGTATTCAAATGATGAAAGTTATTGTTGTTTTTAAGCGTTTATTAGCGAGTGGGAACGACCAACATGGCCGCTATCTATTCAAATGGGGGTAACCGCTGGAATATTCTTGGCTTCAGTTTTACTAAAAGAGATGCGCTATCTAGTGTATATAAGATATCTATGGGAACGACCTACAACGACGCTACAATGACCTACAACGACGCTACAATGACCTACAACGACCTAAAACAACCCTATAACGATCTGGGAAGATCCGACCCATCTCGTATGTATTGAAATTTTCCGAAATTTTATAGTCTATTTAGTGGTAATTTGTGAATTTTCGCACATTTTCTGAAACTAATCCCAATTGATATGGGTTTATTTTTTTTAAAAAAAGCAGACCTTTAGAAATCAACCATATTGTTAAAATATGAATGCCATTTCAATTGCACATATGCTCAACCGTAGTGCGTGAAATATTGATGGGGTGCATATATTAGAAAAAGGAGACCTTTAGAATTTGAAATGACGTTTAAACAAAAGATTGTCTGCTCCCGGGAACAATCTGCCATGCATAATGTACGTAGATCGCATGTTACGCACTCGTGGGCACAGCAAAGTGCTCCAGGATTCAAATTATAACAATGGTTGATTTCTAAAGGTCTCCTTTTTTTTATACACCCTGTATAACTCGTCTGAATCGATGGTGCATTTACATTTTACAATATTGCAATTTTCATTTAATTAAATCAACACGAAGTAATAGATGACATAAAGTCTCATCTACGCCTCTACTACCCAATTTATCCCAATTCATTGTTATTAGAGTCATAGGCGTATATGGGTACCGGGGCCACGTGCCCCCAAATTTTTACGGTCGGGCAAAAATCAATGCAACATTCGGGAAAATTATGATATGTCCTGGAAATTTTTTGGTATATTTGCGAAAATTACGTGACGTTAGGGAAAATTTTCGTATGTTATATGTTTGCAGACAAGTTTTTGGTATGTCCGGAAAGAATTTGTTGGAATGTCCGGAAAAATTTTTTTGGTGACACGCCAACACTTTTGGGAGGAAATATTAATGTTCAGTTTGCCTGTTCGGGCAAAATATACTGCCCCCCAAACAAGACAAGACCCGTACCGCCCATGATTAGAGTTAACAAAAACAGTACAGGTATATAATTATAAGTGATTACTTTGCCGTTGAGTTCCTTGCGTCTGTACCAAGATTGTACAGTTGTAGAAACTTGATGAAAGTGAAACTTGATGAAAGTCACTAGTGTTTTCACCAAATATCTTAATTACGCATGCAAAATTACTTGAATAGAATTCCTAATTACGTTATGCTTGGTTAAGAATTCTATTCAAATCAGCAAACGAAAACATTCTGTTACGTCTCGATTCATTTGATACATTGTTTTCTCGTGTTTGGATATCCCGGTGAAACACTAGCTCTCGTTTTTCATATATTACATCTTTTGGTATAAGCCTGAACTAGCCTACCAAAAGAGGTAGATAAAGCCCCGTTTACACTACGCTCAATTTTTGGTACCATACCACTCTTTTGGTTCTTGGACTACCTTTAAATTTCTCCTGCGACATTTTGATTGGATACTAAATATAAACTTTGTTGTGGGTGGAAAGCGATCGGATTAAGGTTTGTGTCAGGCTATTATTTGTAAAATAGAACCTGATACTTAGGTTATGATCGCCATGCATCGCGACGTTCAACATAAGTCGTTGTAGGGTCGCTATGTAGATCGTTGTAGATCGTTGTAAGTCGTTGTAGGGTCGCTATGTAGATCGTTGTAGGTCAATTTTCACTTTTCTGTAAAAAATATCGCTTTTCAAAGTCCGTCATAAACAGAAAAATACATGGGTGCTTGGAAATACCAGATTTATTTCTCGTGTCAAACATGATATCTCACTCGTTCGCTGCGCTCACTCGTGAGATATCATGTTCAACACTCGAAATAAATCTGGTATTTCCGCGCACCCATGTATTATTCTCCATATTAATGCCTATAACAACAATAGGGCCATTTATACGGGACAAAATAAGTCGCGTCTTACATAAGACGCGTCTTATATAAGCTGAGTTATCGCATAAATGGTTCTCTACGGATTTATTCTTATTTACTTGCTATAGCTATAATGTTGTTTCGGTTGTTTTTGTTTGAATATGCAAGGCTAATAATTTTACGTTGTTTCAAGTCTCGGGCATGTGTAGTTAGAATTTTTGTCTAAAATTTCTTATTTAAGACGCGACTTAAATAAGAACAGCTAAAAGTCCTGTTCTTATGACATGATAAGAAGACGCGTCTTATCCAAGACGCGTCTTACATAAGAATTTTGTACCTTTTATACGACAAACTCGCGTCTTATTTAAGTCACGTCTTATGTAAGTCGCGTCTTATTTTGTCCCGTATAAATGGCCCTAATGTTTACATACAGTCACAGAATAGGAAGTTATACCAGAAGCGTAACTCGAGCAAATATTTGTCCGCGTTTTTACAAGCGATTCGTCAGGGGCTAGTACAACCGGCACTTTGTACCTACCAAATCCTGATAAAAACTTCCGGCTGTACTAGCCAGCATGGCGTGGCCTGACGTGAGCGAGTTAAAATTTTCGTGGACGTCAAACAATAAGGGAAACGACTAGAGTTACGCTTCTGGTATAACTTCCTATTCTGTGATACAGTCAAACATCACCCAAAAAAGCCATAGTTGTTTGAAACGCCTGGCAGCATTCAATAATCTAATGGACTTTTAATGACGAATCAATGTAAACTCCACATAGCTTGTTTGATCTATTGCAGCAAATATATTCAAAACATTTTTATTTGCAATTGTCTGACATGATTTTGTGAAAATCTACGTAAAAATGGAAGAAATTCTTAAAGGAAATTTGAAGGAAATTTCAATATTTTTTAATGAAATTTTAGTCCAAATCAGGAAAAAATAAGGATTTTGCAATTTTTGAAAGTCGAAGCACTGCTCTGAGCCTGTCCTCAACGGGCAAGAGACGTATCAAGGCTTCTAATCTGTGGCTGTGGTTATGTTTCGACGAAATACACGCTTGTTTGCTCACAAAACGTTTTGTAAACACTTTAATATTTTAGCCAGAATTTATAGTTGGTCAATACTTACAAAAGAGAAAGTAGCCGTCGCAAATGGAAGAGTAGAGAGTTTGAGCAAGACAACGAAGTTCAACGAAGACGAAGGCGTACTCAGTGAACTCTAATAATAACTGGAAGGCTAAGTCAGGGGGGGGGGGAAGTTGAAGCCGTGCTTGAAGCTTTTTTTGTAGGTAGACCCAGTCCTTTTTAATTTTTTTTTCAAAATATGCACATTTTTTGATCAGAAAAATCTTGCCCCAAAATATTAGTTATACTACCAAATTTAATTTATATCAGTAGTATGATAAATGAATTTAATATTCGCAAAGCAAACAAATCACGAATTAGCAAAAAAAATGCGAAAAACACGACCATAAGCATGAACGGTCTGAAAAACCGCGCGTTTTAGGCTGCTTTTTCTGAGTTTTTGGAAGTTTAAGATAAAACTAAGACGTCATACCTCAGGAATTTTTTATACCCATGCAAAATACATCTGTATGCGAAGTTTCAAGAAGATTTAACGTTTTAAGGTCGAAAAAAAAGCATTTGAAAATTGACAAAAATATTGCCATATTCAAAGTGCTCATAGTGGCCAACAAGATGCCGATGACGAAAATAACATCACTTGAAAAACGCCAATTTATTTATGTTTAAGAGCGACTAAAACAAGGACTAAAAGCTCAGGATCAATAACAATACCTGGGGTTTAGTACAACATAAGTTTTGGGACTGTCAAAATGTTTTATAGTATATATTTTTGGTTTGAACGGCGAGATTTCCTTCGGCACGTCCAAACTTTCGTCATTTTTTCAAAATACAAAAGCAAACGTCCTTACTTTTTGCTGCAGAGAGATGTAAAACAGTCGGAACTAATCGGAAACTTGGTTTAAATCCCAATCATTGCTGTATTCCCATGGGAAAAGTGTTTTTCTTGCAAATTTTTGCTCGAAAACAAACTTTTGACAGAATTTTTTTCACTCCTCGAAACTCTCCTTAGTCCTTTTGAAAGCTGATTTTCCCGCGCGCCGGCTTCAACGAATCATAGACTTTCATCATAAGAGTTAGCCTTCCAGTTATTATTAGAGTTCACTGGGCGTACTTGACAATTTTTGCTGTCTGCACATTATTTTGCGCATATTGGACGTCACTGGTGGTTGCTCGGCGTGTCTTCCCATGTGTCGCTGTTTATGAATACTGACCCTAAATCTTGCCCTGACCCTGTCCTTCTGCCTTCGTTCGGAATTCGTTCAACGAATTTTGCCAAAATATTCGTTGTGAACGATGGCGGAAGAACAAAGACGGGATATGGATTCATGTCTCGCTGTTTTGTCCTGATCTAGGTAAGGATTTGGGTCAGCAATAATAAACAGCTAGACATGAATCTCTAATCTGTCTTCGCCCCTGACCCTAAACTCAGAATGCGCAAGATAATGTGCAAGACAGGCAAAAATTGCAACCACGTCGTCGACTCGTCGCCGTAGGAGAAAATGTTCTCGAGTGAGAATTTCATAATTTCCAGAGACCAGACCGCGCGCAAGTAGAGTCGTAGACTTGCTCCAAGTCTCTCTTTCATTGTCATAGTATCGATCCACTATAGTCTACATTACATGACGTAGCACGGAGAGGCGGAGCGAGAAAGAGAGACTTGTCAACTTCGGAAAATCTCGGTTCAAAACTGAACCGAAAATGCAAGACTTGCTTTAATTGTTTTCCTTCAATTTCTTTCTGTATTATTTACTATAATGGAACTCATGTTATTTACACTGTGCTAGATCAATGCATATAAACACTGACAGAAAACAAATAAAACAAGTCTTGCATTTTCGGTTCAGTTTTGAACCGAGATTTTCCGAAGTTGACAAGTCTCTCTTTCTCGCTCCGCCCCTCCGTACTACGTCATGTAATGTAATATTTTACACTATAGTTTCGATACTATATGACAATGAAAGAGAGACTTGGAGCAAGTCTACGACTCTACTTGCGCGCGGTCTGGAAATTATGAAATACTCACTCGAGAACATTTTCTCCTACAGAAATGTAGGCTCTTGCGCAGCGTTTTTCAAATACTCGTAAGCCTACGGGGTGTTTGCTTGAGGTGCGTAAGTGTTTCAAACTTCGCCTTTGACGCAGACGAGATCACGAGATAGAGTTTGTATTCTTTATTGATATAATCTTAAATAATCAATTCAGACGAGTTCAAACTATAGAGAAAATACGGCAACAAACAATACTGAATAACAAATACAACAATAAGCTAACCTAATTTACCTACGAAATGCATAAAACAGTAACCATAATAACATATTATAAGTAACGCTAATTTGTACAAGTGTATGCACACGCGATCGAGCTATGAACTATAAATCTAGACTATAGAATAAAATGCCCTTACTTTGGTGTCCTCTTGTCCCTCAAGCGATAGAGTTCCTTCGAGTTCTTTCGTACGGTAAATGTAGATGGCATATATATATAGATAGTTTCACATATAGTGGATTCGAATTTAGTATAAACTTCACGGTATTAAAATGAAGATCGCGGTCAAGCGCGAGTATGTTAATTTGATCCATCACGCACCGGATTATTACGTAATGTCAAACAACAGACAGATGCTGTGACGTTTCAAACCAACACAGAAATATTAACAAACTACACAAGCGGAAGTGTGCAGGTATTTCCGTTTTGACTGTAAAGGGCAAAATGTTTTTCAACTTTCTCAGAGTTGTGAGAGGGGCGTAACAGGTTGTAAAATCTCACAACTTGTCAACAAGATGTGTTCGCAACAAGGCTTGTAGCAAGCTTGTCAACAAGTTGTAACAATGCTTGTTATTTTATCAAGTTGCTACAAGGTTGTCACTCGCAACTTGTTGACGGATTGTTGAATTGCAGGACGATAACAAGTTGTTGGAACAACTTGTAACAAGTCTGTTGAGATCAGCAACCTTGTAGCAAGTTGTCAACAAGCCATCAAGGAACATTGGGAACAAGCAGTGCGAACACATCCTGTTGACAAGTTGTTGGAACGGCATTGCTACAAGTCTGCTGCAGGTTTGTTACAACTTGTGCGTTCCAAGTAGCTTTGCTGAACGTACTCTTTTTGTGGCAGTATTGTTAACTCAAGTCAGCTTCTAAGCTATCTAGAGAGTGGACGGGTCGACCACTGTTTGGTGCTGATTAGCATATATTTGGTTTTGGTAGGATTGATGGCTAAGTTACACTTCTCAGCCCAGTTTTCGATACTAACGAGGTCTGATTTTATCGTAGAAAGGCATTTTCCGAGTCCGGCGGGCCTTGCGTGGGTATAAATGGTACCATCGTCCGGCGCACTGGTGACACGTTTTGCGTCGGAACCCGCGCGTCTGAGTTGGAGCCTGGGGACGAGGCTGTGACACGTGGAGGATACCGATGATTGGAGATCCGCGACATATATGTTAAATATAGGTGGACCCATTATTGATCCTTGCGAACCCATTATTGATCCTTGAGTCGATTCAAATACACTATGTCAAATTTAGTAAGTGCACAAAATTTGAAGAGTTTATTTCGAAATTTTATTAGATGGGGACCATTCTGGAAAGTACAGTACTTTGCCTTGGCTATCGAACCTCGTTTATGATTTCGTAAACGTGTCATCACTTGAACAAGAATTACAGTATTACAAGATAAAGACTCAAGCCGGTTACAGACGAGCAAGTTTTCTATGACAAATTTTTATGTGACAAGTCTTATTTAGCAAGTGCACAGACGAACAAAATTTGTACTTTGACAATTTTTTCTATGACAAGTGCACTTATTCAAAAGCTAGCATGCTAGCTTTTGAACAAGTGCACTTGTCATAAAAAAAAATCAAAGTTGCGCGTACAGACGAGCAAATAAAACTTGTCACATAAAAACTTGTCAAAGAAAACTTGCTCGTCTGTAACCGACTTCAATCATGAAAACGAAGCTCTATAAATTACTATACTGTAGCCAGCTGTAGCGTAACGCTGCTCATTAGGTAGGGTTAGTTCAAAAACAATTAAGGGCCCTCGACAGTTAGAAGGGGGGGGGGGTGTGTGTGAATAGGGGTATACCGTATACAAATCCGCCAAAATTTGAAGCAAAATCCGCCGATCCGACAATGGTCTTGTCTAATTTTGGATCCGCTAAAAGCTCTCCTGTGAAGTCACAATCTAGGATCCGAACTAAATTGCAAGCAAAATCCACAATCTGAGCCAAAATATTAGATAAATCCGCAATCTGTTGTATTAATAAGATCCGCAAGTCCGTGTAAAATATTCGCCAGATCCAAAATCCAATTTTTTCGGCAGAATCCGACGATCTGAAAAC